CATACACACACTTGTTTGCATGTACATAGCATGACCTGGAATTCTGTGCCGCTCCCAGCCCTGCCTTTGCACACATACAATGCGCCCCAAGCAGCCTCCAAGCCGGCCCCAGGAGCCACAACAGCCCCCTGCAGGCATTTCTGTGGGTCTGTGCCCCAGAGGGACGTGCCTGCCCCTCCCATGGCTGCAGCACAGCCCATGATACACACACTTGTTTGCATGTACATAGCATGACCTGGAATTCTGTGCCGCTCCCAGCCCTGCCTTTGCACACATACAATGCGCCCCAAGCAGCCTCCAAGCCGGCCCCAGGAGCCACAACAGCCCCCTGCAGGCATTTCTGTGGGTCTGTGCCCCAGAGGGACGTGCCTGCCCCTCCCATGGCTGCAGCACAGCCCATGCCAGGAAGGCCCCGCTAGCTCTGCCCTGCCTGCAGCCCTCCAGGGGCCTCTGTGTGGTGATGCTCTGGTGGGTGCACACACGTGTGCCGCAGGGAGGCCTTGTGCACACACAAGCCCCGTGCCAGCCCCCTCCCGTGTGCCTGCACCGCAGCCTTGCTGGCTGGCCCTGTCACAGCGCTGATGGCTGCCGAGCAGAGCCGGCCTATAATGAGCACTGGGAGGCTGGTAATTGGCAGATGGGGCTGGGAACGCAGCGTGGCCCAGGGCCCTGTAAGGCCCCACTGCCCCCGCCGGGCCAGCCGCCCGCCAGGAGTTCACTCATCCGCTGCAGCGTTGGGGGGCGGAGGGGGGGGCTGAGAGATTCCCCCTCTGCTGTCAGCTTGTCTTGTCATGGCTGGTCCCCCTCCCCTGGGACTGCTGGCACCTGGGGGAGAGGAGGCAGAATAGATCCAGGGGGTGTGCAGGGGTGCTCGCCCAGCGCGGCTGATACTGGGGTAGGGCTGCTCTCTGTGCTGCATCCATACAGCTGCAGTGCACACAGGTCAGGGGCACCTGCAGTCGGCCAGCCCCTCCCCCCCATGCACTCCGGGGTCACCCCAGGCTGCTTCAGAGACTCTCTGCAACATCCTTCCCCCCACCCCACCAGGCAGCACATGGCCCCCAGGGGCCTGTTTCACCTCAGCTCTGGGGAAGCTGCACCCAGCCCCCCCCCCGTGGAGCTGGGGGCTCTTGCCCCCCTCCTGGGGGGACAGGACACCGGGTCCCAACCCCGCAGCAAGCAGGCACCAGCAGGGCCCAGGGCCCCGGAGCCTGCATGCCCTCTTCAAGGAATTCAGGGCCTCAGGTAAAAGATGCAGCCAGAGCCCAGCCCAGCCGGGCCCTCTGGCCCACACAGATGTATCACAGCTCAGCTATCATCTCATTCTGGTCTCAGACAAACCACTGCACTTCCCTGCCTCAGTTTCCCCTCTGGGCAGGGGCAGGATCCTCCCCATTTTAGAGCTAGGAAAAGTAAAGGCAGAGAGAGGTGGGGAGGGGACAGGAATTGAACACAGGAGTCCCAGCGCCTAGGTCACTCTCCTACCCCCTCCTCTGTGGCACAGAGGCAGGGCGCCACACGCAGCCTGGGCTCAGCATGGTGAGCTGAAGCCACCGCCAGCCACGGGGTGGCTGCCCTGCCATCCTGGCAGTAACTATGCCAGCTAGAGGCCTGGTTGGCTGGCCTGTGCTGCCACCCTGTGGCCAGGGACTGCTACAGCAGCCCCCTTCTACAGGGAATAGGGCCACAGCGAGGGGCTGCACCCAGAACGCAGCAGAGGGACCAGCTGTCATCTCACTTCCTTCTGCCTCAGCCCCTGCTTTCAGCAGCAGAATACTCCACCCCAGAAGCAGATGCTGCAGCCCCTTTGGCCCAAGGGCCAGTCTGGGCTCTGGCTACAAAGGCACTGGAAACATAAGGGATTTAGGTAGAGGGGACAGACACCCCGGGGGTCTCACCTAGCATGGCCCAAGCAGACCCCAGCCAGCAGCAAAAGGGAGCAGGGAATGGGTGAATCCTGCCCCTGCTGCTCCCAGGGGAATGCCAGAGATTGCTCAGGGTCCTGCTGCAGGCTGTTCCACAGGTTAGTGCTTCTGCAAGGGGGTAGGACTACAACAGACCAAGAATGTAGAGCTTGGGCCATACCAAACCTACCGCCGTATCCAGTGCATGGCTATGCACCAGGAGACCCTACAATAACTGCCTTATGTAAACAAGACTTTATTATGGTCCCTAAGTAACAGAGACAGCTCGTCATTAAAAACACTTTGCTGCTTCCCAGCCCACGAGGCGGTTAATAAATAGAGAGAGGGACCAAGGAGGGCTGGGCAGAGGAAGGTGCTGCAGATGACAGTGAAATGCCCACTCCAATCGCACAGGATGGTGGAGAGTCCCAGAGATCCAGGCACCGGGTGAGGACGGGCGACGGGGCAGGCTCCAGGTTAGTTAGAGGCTGGTGGCTCCAGGCCCAGGCTGACTTGAGAGCAGCCCCCAGGGGCTGTGTAAGCTTCCTCCTGTACCAGCATGGCCCCGCAACAGAACAGGAGGGGCCTGCCTGACCCAGCCCTTGGCAGCTGACCCGGGCAGGAGGCAGTGTCCGTGCTGAGTAGGCCTAGTCCCCCGCCGTCATCTCAAGGGCTGCTGAGGCAGGGCTGCCTGTAGCGAGCTCCCGGCTTCCTGCAGGCTGCCCCCCGGCTCCGGGATGGGGATAAAGTACTGCAGAGGAGAGGGAGGGAGACAGGGCTGGGGGCTCCCCTTGTGACACGCTGCCTTCCCAAGCGCACAGCCGGGAAGCCAGGAGTTCTGCTGTCCCGGGCTCTGCCCTGCCACTAGAACCCACGCCAGGGTGGCCTGGAAGCAGCGCGGCTGCTCTGGAGAGTCCAGCGCTGCCCAGCAGAGTAGCCCCAGCCAGGTTTGCCTACTGGGGTGGTGCACTTCCTCACATGGCTCAGTGCACAAAATGTATTCCGCACATGGCTGGAAGGTGAGAGGGATCATTGCTCCACAGTCCCGGCTAATGCTGGGAATAGAGCCGGGCTCTCGGCATCCACCTCCCTAACCACTAGCTCCTCCTCCCACGGTCGGGGGCAGAATCCTGGAGCCCTGATCTGCAGCCCCTCTCCCCCCCAAAAAAGGCTCCCTAGACCCTCCTCCTCTCCCAGAGTCTGGGAGACCCCAGGAGTCCGGATTCAGCGTCCCTCCCCCACATCCGGCAAGCTTGGCCCCTCCCTCCCCAACGCAGGAGGCCACAGGGAACCAAGGCTGGGGGGAGGGCCCCCCCAGTCCCCAGACTCACCATGGATTCCTGGGCCTTCAGCAGCCTGGCCATGGGGAGGCTCCCTAGACCCTCCTCCTCTCCCAGAGTCTGGGAGACCCCAGGAGTCCGGATTCAGCGTCCCTCCCCCACATCCGGCAAGCTTGGCCCCTCCCTCCCCAACGCAGGAGGCCACAGGGAACCAAGGCTGGGGGGAGGGCCCCCCCAGTCCCCAGACTCACCATGGATTCCTGGGCCTTCAGCAGCCTGGCCATGGGGTCCGTGCAGCGGTGGGGGGCGCAGGGCTGGCTGGCGGGGGGGCCG